GAAGGTACGATTCGCTTGGAGGAAGCCGAGTGTTACGGTCTTGCTGGTTCTCGAGACCTGAGCGTGTCGTTATCGACATACTTGCCCTGGGCAAGCTTTACCAGAAGGAGGTGGAGCTTCCGGGTCTGCTCAGTATTCGCGCCAATAGAAGACTTGTACACTTCGCGTTCGCGAGCCAGCTTCTTCTGCAGCGTGCTGATAAAAACGTCCCGAGCTTGGACCTCGCAGTGCAGACGATTCAAGTCTTCTGCGTGTCGTTCCATAGTGGCTTGAACAGTGGCGAGCATGGCGTCGTTCTTGGCGTTCGACTCGCGGAGAATCTTGACGTGGTGGTGTAAGGCTTCAATCTCAGCGTTTGCAGCCTTGAGGAACGTCTCCGCGTTCTCACGAGCCATGATGTGGGGTGCCACCGAACGCACGGCGGCTGCAGCCTCGGACTGAGCAAACCGCAACTGACGCTCTAAGTCGGCAACGCGTTGGGGTAATGCCGACAGCGCGTCAGGAACAGGTTGTATCGCAGCGAGGACCTCATCGAAACCAATAGCTGTCTCGAGACGACGCTGAGTGTGTATATCGCCGTGGAGAGGAGGCACAACGCTGATCTGCACTTGGTGACGAGCCATTGCAGTCAAGTACGGGATTATCGAGGTCATCATGTGATCGACCGATGCCTCCGTACTTTCAGCCAGCATGGCGCGCAGCGAATCTTCGGTGAGTGGTGGTGGACCACCAGCTGGGGCAGGAGGAGCAGCAGGAGCCATCTCCGCGGATTCAGCGACGACGGGGAGTGCTGCAGGAGCTACCGCAGGAAGTGAAGAGTCTGGGGCAGCGGGCGCCGGAGGACCGGTTGATGACGCTGCTGTCGGAGGAAGTGCAGCAGACTGAGGGGCGTTCGAACCCTCGGTCTTGCCCTCCTGAGAAACAAGTCGAGTAATGCGAGGTGATGAGCAAGGTACCGATGATTCAAGAGAAGGATGGGCTTACGTACCTCCAGCTGCTCACGCTCGCGACGTCTACGAGGATTGAGACGCTGAAACGCGTCGGACACGACTCGATTCAGACGCTTGGACATACGGTGGCGAGATGGTGAATTGAAGAATGAAGAAATGTCACAACGGGCACCAGTACCGTGGCTTCCATTGCGACAGGGGCAGTTGTGGTGTAGTGATTTCTCCGTGGTTGCGGATTATCACCCGTCGACAAAGACGTGACACCGCCCAAGTTGTTCAAGCGACGAACCCTCGGTCGGGTGATGTACGGAGACGCCAAGGTGCAAGGGACTCGACGGCGTCACCTCCGAGTTTTCAACAAATATACACTAAAGCCGTTCGTGGACTGCTACTTGGCTGAGACGCTGTCATCTACTCAAGAAGCCAAGATGGCGTTGCTCGGAGTGCAACAGGCCAAGGGTGAAAAGGACAGAGCTGTGGGGGTTATGGTCTCATTCACACTGGACAGCCAAGGGCGTCTTCGAAGTGGAGAGAACGTGTGTAAGGTAGTAGAGAATGTACTAAGCTTTACTGCAGGCACGTCAAGGACGGAGTTGCAGGCTATTCTCTTTAATTGTTCACAGCCCGAGGACATCTGCAAGGCTCTTAAGGAGCTCCACGATGATGACAATACACAAGCAAGTCTACGTAGTCGTGGGGTGCGTTTGGGCGCGTATGCTAATCGCCTTACGGTCATTCCGGATGATTGGGCGCTCGCGGAGTCAAGTGAACCACAGGCCATGCGCAAAGATCTCGCTGTGGAACGATACAGAGATTTCGTCTCGCAGTGGGTAGAGCTGGGAGCTGACGTTGTAGGCGGGTGCTGTGGAATAGGACCCGGATACGGCCCTATGTCACTGAATCCAGGCTGTCCTTATTATTAATAATGGACTGGCCGGATTCGCATTCAGCGGACCATCTACGGTACGAACCCTCAGTGGCGGTTGGGATGAGTTCGCGGAATACTCAGCGACCTTTGGAAGACACGTTAACCGTCTGGGACAGGGCGCGGACCGTTAAAGATGCTCATGCGACAGTGCAGACGACGCTTGGCATGCAAGAAGATCCATAACGGATCATTGTTCACTTGATATTTGTATACTTGATTAGGACTTCTTATTAGGAATAGACCCGAAAGGGTAAGCTTAAATACAGAACAGAATTTCCACTCAAGCACACAGAGCGACGTCCGGCTTCAAGGTAAGCGTCAGGTCAAGCTTGTTTGAGTGTGTTATGCCTGTCGGTGAACTCGAAGCTCTGTAGCGAGGGTTCATCCGGCAAGGCCAAGAGACCAAGTGGGTGGGCTATGAAGATTCAACTTGGGAACCATCATCCAACTTGTCATGTGGAGGTCTGCTGTACGACTATTTGCGAGCCAAGAAGAGCGAGAATCGGCTGCAGATGGCGCAAGTGGCGGACGAAGACTAGCGTGACTGGATCACGTGTGAGCTGTCCACAGGGCGATGCAGCCTGTGGTAACAGACGAAAAACGTTACTGCAACAACAAATTGTATATGCATTTGAAGAACAACATGAACATGATTACGCTGTGGAAGTGGATTAAGAATAAGGAAAACATGAATGCCGACCGGAGAGCAACCACTGAAAACGAAGTCACGCGGACACCTCAACAGTTAGCTGAGATGCTGGAGAACGTCG